CTTTTTTGTAATTTAATTCAAGGCTTCCTCCTTTGCTCCAGTGATGATAACCAGTAATAATGAGTCCCTCGTTCTCTCTGTTAAATGAAGGCTCAACGGGCTGCGGTGGGTGAAGAGCGAGAGTCTGGAGGCAGTGAGCCAGGTGACCCAGCTGGACTTGCGGGACAATCGCTTGGACTCGCTGGACCTGAGCTCCGTCTGCAACCTGGAGACTCTGCACTGCCAGCGCAACCAGCTGGGGACTCTGACGCTCAGCGGCTTCACACTGCGCATGCTTCATGCCGGCAGCAACCGTGAGTCAAATAGAGCGTCAACTAGCTGCTGTTATTGCCTCGCTGGCCTTTCGCCTGTATGCTCTCTCTAATGATACATCCATCCACACAAACACACATGGAAACGGCCCAGATGTTTGCTCGATGATTGCTGCTTTTATCTGCCCGCAGGCCTCACAACAGTCAACATCTACCCAGTCCCTAACCAGCTGACGCACATGGACCTATCACAGTGAGTTCTGGGTGGGGGGGGAATAAGACCACTTCTTATCTCACACAGAAGTGCTCGCAAAAGAGGCTTCGAGGTCAAAAATAGTGTCGTTATCTTGGTGTTCGTTCATCTATTTGTGCACAGGGTTTATGAGGGTTGTAAATCAGTTTGAAAGCTGAACTGGATAATCAATACCGAACAACCTCAAAGCAAATATTCTGTGGAATTTTCCCAGTGAAGCATCACAGCATTTGCCGATACGATACTTGTAGAGATCTATCAGGTTGAGGTCTTCGGATTAATAATATTTCTAGCCAACATTTCTTATTCTTCTGTTTTTTAATTCTTGTAGTCTGCTATATGTCCTTGTTTTCTGCAGTATGTACAAAGGGGTTTTCGCCCAGATTCTGCAGAAATGTGGACTCTTAAGGATCAAGAGCAGCTACAAAAAAAGCGCCTAAAATGTCCCTGTGTTATTTGCTTGACTTTGCTGATATAGAAATGTGGTTTTGTGATTTAAACATTTGCAAATTTTGGAAAACAAATTACTTTAAGACCTGCATCTTCATCACTTGTTATGCTAGCACAGCAAATGTTGAATATGTCAGTAGTTGGGCGTCCTGGTACCTTAACTGGTTGAGCGGGAGATCCGTAAACAGGGGCTACAGTCCCAGCACAGTGGCCATTGGGTTCCAATCCGGCCATTTGCTGCAGGTCCTTCCCCTACTCTTCTTCCCGCTTCACTGTCTTCCACTCTCCACTTGACTAACTATTTAAAAAAAAGCAGAAAGGCCAAAAAAATACAGTCGTGACTCGATAATCCGACCCTTAACAATCCAAAACCTGCTATCCAACAGGTTTTTAGGAAAAACGAACAGAACCCATAAAAACAGCCTTAACATAGCGACAGCCTTGGATTCTGACTCCGACATGACATTTAATGTCACCAATCAGGATGACGGCGTATTATCTGACTGAACAATCCCACAGATTGGCTACGTTCACACTGCAGGACTTGATGCTCAATGAGGATTTTTTGTGAGTTTGTTCACGTTTCCAGTTCAATGCGACTTGTATGTGATCTGCTGTGTGAACTTCATACGAGCCAAAAGTGTCCCGCATGCGCAGAAGAGGACACGACGACGTCACATGCAGCGAGCGGCGGCAGGGATGGTGGAAAAAGAACTGTGAGCACTAACTAAACTAGCATCAGCAGTAAAAGTACTGTCTGTGTGTTCTGGCCACTTCCACCCCGTCAGAGCGCTGCCCCGGGGTGGAAGTGTCCCCCTACCGCACCGAATGTTTCATTAATTGGGCCTGAATATCCAGCGTACAGAAAGTGCTATTGGGACCAGCCCTACTAGTTATTATAACAACTATGAACAATAATTAACAACTAATGAGCCTTCCAGCATCAAGCCCTCCTTGCATCTGGACCTCCGTCTTGACAATCCGACATAAAAGAAGGTTTTACATTTAGTGTCGGATTATCGAGTCACGACTGTATCTATAAAGATAAAAAATGTCAGCAGTTAAATAAGCTGTCCTTTGTTTCTGAATCATCTACCAGCGTCAGAAACATCTGCAGCATTTGTTCACCTCATCCTCCAGCACTGACTCCACAAACTATCTGTATCTATTAAAATGCAGATCATTCGCATGCTTAAATAATAACCCTGGAGGATATCAGTTTGGCCTCTTGCCTGCTATGACTTCACCGCTGTTTACTCATCTGTACAATCAACGGCGAGATGCCAACTCCGCTCAGTTTGAATCTTTGTGTGTGTGTGTCTCCCCATTTATGTGACTGTGTGTGTTGAGACAGGAACCTCTTGGAGTATCTTCCAGACTGGGTGTGCGACTGCAGGAAAATTGAGATGCTGGACGTCACGCACAACCTCCTGTCTGAGCTTCCCTCCAGGTGACGGGGCTTTTTGATCGCTAATCGTGAACCCTTTTCCTGCTCAGATGGTGTCTTTATGCTGCATAATTAGTATTTATTCGGCCTTTTAGCCTTCCGTCCTGTTAGGAATTAGAGGATCAGGTGTCACATTATGCTCGGTCAGCTGCCAAACTGTTTTTCATAATGTCCATCTGAAGATTTCGCCACAGTTTTTTGGAACCGCAGGAGGAACGAGGCACAACAGCTTTCATCGGTGTCTTTCGGTTGCAGCAGTAAAACATGGCCATCCTATAATACTTGGCTCGGAGTGCCATCATTCACTGCCAGCTTCCAGCACATTCATTTGCATTTGAATGAATGGATCAGACAAAGCTTTTGCAAATTATATTATAGTCTTCTATCCACTGTACCCACTCAGAACTTCTGTGATGGTATCAGGGGAGAATAAAGAGGCAGCCGAGCTGAAACAGTCACTGATTGATTGGTTCGGACCCCCACCTCCCCCTGAACACACACACCGAGCCTCACGGGGGGTCGGTCTGCACAGAAAGGTGACGTTCTCTGCCTTTTCTTTATTTTCTTGTCCTAATCTCACTCTGCAATGTCTCCTCTGGCCCTCCGACAGACTGCTCAACAGCTTGAGTTTGAGGAAGCTGCTGACGGGGAACAATCGTTTGCAGAGAGTGCCTGACCTACTTGACCACGTCCCTCTGGAAGCTCTAGACCTCCAGCACAACAAGCTAGCCGAGCTTCCTGAGAGTCTCTTTTACAAGGCCTTAAAGTGAGTCTCTCAACCCCCCACCCCGTTTCTCTACCTTTCTTTTTCAGTCGTGCATTCAGAATGATTCATGCTGTTATCTGAGTATTTGAGTTATTGTATCGCAGCTCATAGTTTAGGGAATGAGGCATACGTTGTGCAAGAGGCTGTGGTCAAGATCAATGGAGCGTTCTGGACCGTAACTGGAGATTCATTTTCTCTCCTATTTCCTGTGTGGTAAATCACTTAACACCCATTAGCAGTTCAAATGCTCTAATGTACTTTACTGTCTCTAACGCTGAGACATAATGGCTGTGACTTCTCGGTGCATAATGGGTTTCCTGATGTGTTGTCTAAGAGCTGCCCAACATACGAGGGGGAGCAGCGGCACTGGATGGAAACAAGCACAGCAGCAGAAACGAGGCTGATAGTAAAATTCTTTCGACCATGTTTGTGAAGCAAAATGACAGGAGACCAGTAGGAAGTCAGCAGTAATGCCTCTTTATGGGGCTGTGAAGATGTCATTGCACTTCAGTAATGTCTAACTTTGTTTTAAAACTTCACTGTGACAAGGTTAACTCCCTACTGGGTCAGAGGGACCGGTTTTATTACTGCTCAGTGTTTGATACGCACAGACAATGACTTGACAACACCAGTTGCACCACCGGAGCTCAGATTACTGCCCCGCCTCTCAGTGCAGCTTCAACAATATGTAAAGCGATGCTCCGCTGGCACTAACTTCTTCGGTATGTTGAGAAGACGATCGGAGATGTAACGTGTAAGCCTCTAAAATCTCTTTTGAACCGGCGCCTCAATCGTCTACCTGCACATTTCACTTCCAGTTCAACTTATTTCCTCACATAAAGGGTTAAAATATGTTGCAGTAGAGAGTGTTTGCTCTGATTCTTTTAAACATCAGTCGTCTGAGCTCTCAGTTTTACCTTGTGGAAATTAAAAGATTTGCAATATGCTCTGCTCAGTTTGCCCAGCACATAAAATCTAACTGGTGCTGTTCATTCCCTGTTTATATCGATGCCCTGAGACTTTTAGTTTAATTAAAGTATTTATTATTATTATTTGTTTTCCTTCACAGCCTAAAATACTTAAATGTGTCAGCCAATGCCCTGGAAAGTATTCCTCCCAGCAGCCAATCAGAGGAGAGCCTCAGCACACTCCAGGAGCTCTACCTGACGGGGAACAACCTGAACGAGAACTGTGGCGCTCTGTTGGTCGGACACCAGAACCTGCGGATTCTTCACATCGCCTACAACCAGCTGCTCTCGTTCCCTGCCAGGTGTGTCTCCATCTGTGTCGCTTAACTGTCTGAACCATAAAACCTATAAGCAGGTTTAAAAGGCACGCTACTTTAAAAATAAAAAAGCCTAAATGATGCCATTTATCAGAGCCAAAAACTATAAACCCAGAAGGAATCATTGGATTTTCTTCTTTCAAACCGACCAAATCTAAGCCTAGAATTCTGATATTTCATTAAAATGACTTTATTCTAAATGTGTCATTTAAAAATTCTCTAAAACAAATCGTTTGCTCGAACTAGATTCTGCAAGGAACCAAAAATTTGCTGCTTTTTGTCGCAACCTTGAAGCCTTCTTGACTCAGATGCAAACAACAGTCATGTGGCAGAAGAAAAAAAAACTGACTTTTTGGCTGAACTCGGCTGAACTGCAGGGTTTGTTTACACACAGCAGATGAAAATACGGAAACAAATTAAGAAATATAAGCAGTAAAATGTCTGTAAATGTCACAGACTCACTGTTTTTCCTGTACTGGTAACACCTGTGGGCAAAAATGTTGTACACGTTGATTTTTGAAGTTTTTGTAAAATAAATAATCAAATAAATTGAACTTTCTTTTCTTTTTTGTCATTCATGGCATTATATAAACCGCACAAAAGACGTTTTGAAGTTTTCTCTACTTCAAGATCATTTTGCTGTTTCCATAGAAGTGCAGGATTTTATATTCCAGTGAAAAATGAGTAGAAATCTGACAAACAAAATGCCCAGAAACTGCTTGGGGTTCTGGGAGTAAACCAACAAATGGTCAATTTTTAATCCTTTTTATGTATCCTTATGTAATAAAAAAAAAAAAAGAAAGATACTTCACAAGCATGAACATGGTCATAATTATTTACAGTTAAATATTATGAATGAACTGTTATGATTAAATTACGCTTACACCAACGCATCGGCAGCAACTCCATCATTTTCAGTCATTTAGTGTGGAGCACAAATTATAATAATAATAATAATAATAATCTTTATTTATAGAGCACTTTTCATACCAAGATGTAGCTCAAAGTGCTTTCCAAATTTAAAAACATAAAACAAACAAAAACAAAACACGCACATATAAAACCACGTACTTGCCCCCACGCACACACAATCACCCACAGAACCACATACACTATAATAATGACAATAACAATTGAAGCTCGATGGTTGACCACGATCATCTGAAGCCTACAGGCTCCACATGCTGTTCATATACAAGCTAGTTTAATGATTTAAATGATTCAATTTAGGTGTTTCCTTGTTCAGCTCACTGGAGGTTTTTTGTGTGTCTTCAGTAAACTGAGTAAACTGGAACTGCTGGAGGAGCTAAATCTGAGCGGCAACAAGCTGAAGACGATCCCCTCCACTGTGTCCAGCTGCAAGAGGCTGCACACCCTCATCGCACACTCCAATCACATCACTGTCTTCCCAGAGATCCTCAACCTGCCTGAGATCAAGGTCAGACTTGGTTTTCTTTGCATCACCTCACCAGCATGTGTGTGTGATTATCTTCAGCATGTTTCAGCCCAACGTTTACGTCTTTTAGCTCGTAGATCTAAGTTGCAATGAGCTGACGGAGATCCAGCTGCCCGATTCCCTTCCCTCCACGCTGCAAGAGCTGGACCTGACGGGCAACAGCAGCCTGATGCTGGAACACAAAACCCTCAATCTGTTCAGGTGAGTCACACCTGTTTGAAATGTTTTAAGCATTAAAAATGAGCATCAGCAGCACCTCGACTCTAGACCATGTAGTTGTCTAGGAGTATAAACCTAATTCCTCAGTGCCTTCTGTTGTATTTCTTCTCCTTTTTTTTTTTTTAGTCACATCACCACCCTGAAATTAGACCAGAAATCCACCACGACAGCTGCAGACTCACTGAGTGCCTCCACGCCATGGAACCACAGTTACTCTGAAATGAGCGGCCAAAGGAACAAGTGGGTTCTGCATGATGTGTTCGTGGCGTTTCCTTGTTTGTTCATCAACATAAAGACGTTATTCTTTCCAGGTGCAGACAGTATTTATCCAAACTTCCACTGACATCAAAATGACATTCCTTGTATTTCGTTAAGAT